CCCCCCCCCACCCTTGTTGGCATCTGTGGGCGGTCCCCGCTTGCTGCCAATGCTGCCGCCTACAAATGTCTCGCGAGGCACCAGTCATTCATGGGTGGATCTCAAAAGGTCATCTTGTTCTTCCTCTTGCTGCAAAGGCAAAACCATCAAGACCACTCCTTACACATGTTTCATACCTCCTCTTAAATCTCCAGAGATGGAGATTCCATACTTCCCCTAAGAAATCTATTCTTGGTTTTAAGTATTCTTAGGTAAGTTAGCATGTTTGTGGCTTGGTTCCCCCCTTCGAGTGCTTAACCTAAATCTCTCATGTTGCAGTTGCAAGACCCTGTGGAGTACAGTTGCTTTGCAGCTGCTCTTTACTTGTTCCAAGGCTGTTATGTCACAGCACAGTATTTACCTCTACACTAAATAAACCCAATTCTTTCAATATTTTCTTTTTTTAATGCGGCACATTTTCTACACCTCCGAACATTCCTTTTCCTCTCCTGTGGACTCCCTCCAATTGCTCCATCTTCCTTGAAATGCAGTGCCCAAGCTACACACAATGCTCTAGCTGAGGCCACACCAGCACTAAGTGGAATTAAATTACATTAGCTCTTGCTTCTAAAAAACTGAAGAACCTATTGACAAGCTGTGTACTTTAGATGGATATTTTATAGATGGATCAAATTGCCTTAGACTTGGTTTATGGGGTGTAGGGAAATACTGAGCTCCTAGAATCTCTTGCTACAAGACATGTTTTCCAACCTTTGTGAGCCCACTTCACTTCTCAATGTCAATCTTGAACTTCGCATGCCAAAATATCTCAGTTTCCCAGAGCAGCCACACCACTGCCAGATAAAGGCAATATGTTTTTTTCCTCCACAAAGATTCCACTATCCCCGTACTAACCCTTTTAGTCCTTGAGACAAGTGTAACGAGGTGTCTGTGATCCTTATGTTTCTTTTGGGCTCCTCCCCCCCCTTATAATTAATAGACAATCAGGGATGGATGTAGCCTGCTTCAGTAGTATTTCATCTATAAAGTGACACCAGGGATATCGGTATATCCTGCTGTTAATTATAAAGAAATATTAGGCTGTTTATTTAAATGCTGAACATTTTAGTTAATGCCTTCAAATACTTTTCTGCAAATGTAAAAAAGTCACTCATCCTTCTGCACAAACGTGACTAAATAAACTAATCGTCTTGTTCAATACCAAGGAAGAAAGATGTGGTGGTGGTGATGTTGTTGAGAGGTGATCATATAGCAGTGAAATAGGAATGTTGAAAGTAATTAGATAAATGCAGAAATTGCAGTTAGAATGCAGTGAAGGGATGGCATGGTCTTCCTCTTCTGGGCTTCTAATTATTCTGACTCAGCAACTCTGCTTCACCCCACCAACATGCATTGCTTACAAAGTAAGTGTTTGAGAATGCTGTTGCACTAGGCACAGGCTTTTCTGCAGCGATGGTCTGGGACTGCTCAGGGCTTTGTGACAGCAGCTGAGGCTTGTGGCATTTCGCCAGTGGCATAGTGTCTAAATTATTTGAAATGGGCCACGTGAACAGCATTTTTTAGCTAGTGAGAATTACAGGCTCATTGCCGTATTTTACAAAGAAAAAGGATAATTACTGCAGTGGTGTCCGTGATTTTTAGTTTATTTTTCATTATGATAAAACTACTTCTTTAGTTTTTTAATTTGGCTCGGTTTGATATTCTATCTTCACTTCTGGTTTAAAAAATGTGGAATTTTTTCAGAGAGATAGAGATATATCTCTATATAGATATATATATTTAATTTACAATAATGGGGGTGCCTTCTATAAGAGGGACAAATTCTGAAGGCATTTTTGCACAGGCTGCACTTTTTCCCTTACCTCTACCTCATTTCTATTTTTATGTGCTGCTTCTCCCCACCTCCGGTTCCTGGCAAAGCTTGGCTGTCACATTTTGTGCTGTCACGTATGATTCTTTTGGTTGGGAATTTCTGGTCATGGCTGAGTTGGTCCATTTGGCCTTTGCAATTGCCATGGAGACATGGCATTCCCCCCTATATGATCCAAGTAGGCTCAGTCTGTTCAGTGAATATAAGCCCCTGCCAGGTTGGTTAGTGAGAAACTAGGACCTGTTACATTCTTGTCTGGCCCTTTGCCTGCCAGTTCAGAATGCTGATTGCTGAGACACCCAGTTGGCTGCACTTCATGTCTCTCTTATTTATAACATGGCAGAGTTATTGGCAGGTTGCATTTACAGTATCTACCCCTGAGACTTCTTTATCTATTTTGAAACTTTTTATATCCCACTAACGTCATTCATATGATTCTATGACTCTGTACAGCTTTGTTGATGAAATCTGAGTCCTTTCCTTGACTTCTGTTATCAAAGAAGTCATAAGCATATAACTCCTAGATGTGAAAAATGCAGATGAATGTGTCTGACTTCGAGCAGGCTGAAAAAGAAGTTAATATTTATGTAACTTTAGATTTTCTGCTTCATAGAAGAATTTAAAAAATAGGAAAAAATCATTTTCATATGTTTAGATTTTATGGCAAGAGTACACTGAGTTCAAAACACTTTACTTGCCGTCATTCAATTGTGTAGATTTGCACCTTATAGACTGACTAAATCAGGAATGCCTAAGCTTTTGTAACCAGCTTTCTCATGTGGATGTTGAAAAGGGATCTTTAGAAGAGTCTGTCTGAGAAGTACATAGGGAGGAGGCTACTAACCACTCTCAGAAAATACTTTGATTCAGTACATCTTAACCCTTGCACAATATTTTTGAGAAACGTATTAAATAAACCTGTGTGTCCAGTGTCAGGTTTCCTTAACTAATGAGTCATGTATGGAGCTATAAACATAATACTTTGGTTGTGTTTCTAGCATTTCCAGTTGTACTCTGCCACTGTATAATATTGCACCTCTCTTGCTACTCATGCACTTCTCAAAATATAATTTCATCTTTCCCTAGTTGCAGTATGTTTAAACACAAATGAGTCAGATTTTTTTGTGCTACTTCTACAGGGACCTCTCTGCGTGTTAGTCTGAAAGTCCAAGTCTAGGAAATAGCAAGCTGCATAAGCAATATGGCCTAGTCTAATCTCACAGCTCAGGCCTTGCATTTTGCATTTGCCTTTCCCCTTACTCCTCTTCTAGGCAAGAGTTTTAGTCAAAGTGGGACTGATCCTGTTTGGTTTGGGTATGGAGCATGTTTAGGAACTTAGCTCTTTCTGTGCTCCAGACTTCTGTGGAGCTGTAGGGGGAAATAATTGTCAATCCTTCAACTATTTTCATGGCTTAAAGGGGAGCTCAGGAACTGCAGAAAGACTGTTCCTTTCTTGGGGATGTGTCTATTACAGACTATCTGTTGGATATTTCCTGGATTTAGGATTTGGCACATGATCCAATAGACCCATAAGCTGGAAATGTAAATATTTGTTGGTGCTTAAGACAGATCTCTGTGGAGCAGTTAATTGCAGTTCTTGATTGATTAACTGGTGTAGCAAGACCTACTGTGAACTACTGTTAACCTGATGATTCTGTAAGGCCAAGGGTGGGGAGAATGGGCGGGTGTGTATAGGGGGAGGGTGTGGAGTGGCATAAGGGTTGAATGGTAGGCAGATGGTAATTGAGACATTTTCCTTTTCCTTCCTTCCAGCAAAAAAATCCCTACCAGAAATTGCTACCTGATGGGGGTTGATATCTTAAAATTAGCTCTGATTAATCAGATGATAGAATCTTTCCCCTTCTTAGAAACATGGGGAGAGAAGGGGTCTGTGGTGCTGAAGGTATCATTATTTTCAAATGAGACTTGATGCCCAGGCATAGACAGCTTGTGGACATAGACTACCATGGTACTTCTATCATTGTAAGAATGCAGGTGTGAATCCCAGTGTCCTGACAGGGCACTTATTTGAATAATTACTGCCTGCCTGCCCAACTCTAGCCTTTCACCTTCCCCTGAAGCTGTTGGTGGTAGCTTTGATTAATAAACACTTATGCAGGGTAATAATTCTGCCTATTGTTCTGTGTCTTAAAAATGTTGTGCTGCGAACAGTTGCAGACTTACCTGGCCAATTCTTTAAACGCTACCATGGATGTTGTTTATGCAGTTGCCCTCCCCACTCAGTTTCATCTTATTATGCACTGTCAAGGTAGTTCTTTGGATTTTAGTATTTTATAGGGAAATAATGTTCATATTTCTTTATCGTTGCCTGTTAAGTATGTTGTGACTGATCCTGGTTGTTACAAGATTGTTTTTTTGGCAGTCCTAGAAACTTTTAAGTCTTAGATCTAATTCTCTTTGACCCATTTAAATGGATTGTGCATAACACAGGGTTGAGTTGGGCAAAATTGTATTCTGAACTGTTTTGCAAAGACAACTGACTGACTTTCTTGTCTGTATAATGGTTTTCTGTTATTGTGCATGACGTGCCTCCCCTGGCTGTACTATGTTGTGCAGGTTGGAGAATGTTTTGATTTAAAGCA